GCCGCCCGTCGGCGCCTCTCGCCCTCGCCCCTCGACTCGCCCTCTCCTCGGTTTGGCTCCCTGGGCTCCCCCGCGGCCGCTGCTTGCTGACGCCCTCGCGCTCTCGCCCCTTGTCTCCATCCTTCTTCCCGCCTCTCGGCCACGCCGTCGGTTGGTCCCCTCGCTGGTCAGGTCGGCTCGGTGACGCTCGATGGGCGCGATACAAAAAATAAAAAGTCTCGGGTAAGCGGACAAGCAAAGAAAAAATGTGTAGTTGCGACCCCGGGAGGTTTCCCTACGGCCTCGCGCGGTTCCTCCTTTCCCGGGCGGACCGACACCGCGCCTTGGGACGGCAGCGGGGAGCTGGCACGCGGCAGCTAATCCGCCACGTCACAGAAGATATGCAATTTAGAAATATACATTTGTATGCACTAACTATTGAGGTAAAATCTCTAATCTTAGTAATTAGAATTTAAGTAACAACGATTTCCGTTTCAAAACATTTTCTCGATTGAACAGAATTAATCGTTAATTTAATCAATACCAATAAGTCCGCAGAGTAATATACAAAATGTAGCAACAGTCACGGAACAAATTAATGTAAAATATTAAGTACAGAATTTTCAATTTCGTAGGCGGGACAACGAATTCTCAACGTTCGTACAACGTTGTTGTCTTGGAGTTTTCAAAAGCGTTCGTGCATCCAAAGAAAGTGTGGAAAAACAAGGATGTTTTTTCAACGTTAATAACAGTGCTCTTAAAGCGGTATATGAGTAATCTGATGTGTTACAGCCCAAGCTGCAAGATCGTCTTGAAAATCGCTTTTATTTTCATTTTCAAATGAATCACTTAATTCATCGTTATAGAAACGTTTGAAGATGATTCTTGTAAATCCGACTCTGATTGTCTGTCTGAATTTTCATGTTGTACAAAATTACTTTCACATTCTACATTATTATCAGTATCTATTTCAGAATTAATTGTGTCATTAATTCTGTCATTATTCAAATTTGTCGCGAATTTATTATTATTACGCGACAATGAATTTCTATTAAACAAATTTTGAGAAATAATATTTGCCTCCCGTGCTGCTAATCTTCTGATTGTGAGATGTCGCTTTGATACAAATACGATATCTTTTCTTTGGCGTTTTCGACTCATTTCCTTGTCAAGTGTTATATCTGTACAATATAAACATATTTACGATTGTAGACAATATACATATAATTTTAAACATATACATATGTATATGTCTATGGTTAAAGGCACATCCAGGCACATCATCTGCCATCTTACAGCGTTGTCTTGAAACTGTAGTCAATGTAGTATGAATTTAAGACTCTAGATGAGGACAGTGTTCAGTTTTCTGCTCGACAAGCTTCGTGCGCGCGTGTCATACGCAGCAGATCAACAGCTGATCGTTTATTTTGGACGGAGATAGGACGGAGATTGCGCGCACGAATTTGGCGAGGCAGTAAAACGCAGTTACCAAATCTTTACCGTGTTTTATCGTCGACCGACGTTTTTTTATCGCAAAGAATTTCCACCGTAAGAACAAGAGGATCGAAACCTAAGAGCAAACTTTTTGAGAGAAAGAGAGAGAGAGAGAGAGAGATTGTGGCTCGAATCCACAAAAAAATACAAAGAAGTACCCGAAATCATAATTGAACAAAGGAGAACGTCGCCGGAGTCATGTCAGCGCTGTCGGAGAGTTTTACGATTAAGCAACCTATTAGACGTCTGGAGATTCAAATCAATAATTTCAACGTTGCCATTCCGCATCATGTGAACCTGCTGAAGCGACACAGGAACAATATCAAGAAGGTGAGTGCACCTGCTTAATTTATCTCTGTACTTTTTTTAACCATTCCTGATACCAATTTGAATCCTTGCAGTATCAAGATCAGCACGATTGGGAACAGGTACGAAGGGAGCATGTGAACGTCTCTCGGATCGTCAAGCAGCTGAAGGAGTTGCTGTACCAGATGGACACTCTTAGAGCACAGGTCCTCGACATTGACATCGGTAAATTTGACAAGTTGACAACTGATGCGCGATCGAGCATCATGAGCGCGATTAAGGAGTACTTGGGTAAGAAACGTAGCGCGACGTATGATACTCTCCCGTAATTTCGCGTGGCATAAAATTCTGAAAGATTAATGTGGATACGAATGCGTCGTTTATAGAGATGGAATTGAATTTCCCGACATCGCCGCCTACGTCGCCTGTAAGCGAGCCAGCAGAACCCCTGCATCCGCTCGATGACAGTAATATCCAGTTGCAAGCCGAGCAGGAATATTTACAGCGCCAACAGACGTGTCTGCACGTCTGGAATCGACTACAGGGGGAAATACATCAGTTGCACGAGCTCTTCGTCGAATTTAATAAAGTTGTACATGTGAGTGTATAGTTCCACTTTGCATTACGTGATATTTGAAGAAGGTTAATTAAGGAATAAAACTAATCGATAAGTAACAAATGGTTTTGTATATATCCGTATATATTTCGTATATTTAGCGTGTAGGAAGGAGAGTATTGATGATTAAATGCACGTTTTTTGTCTTGTGCAGGATCAAAAAGAGATGGTGGATAATATGGAGGACAACATTGAAGAGACTGAAAGGAATGTGAACGAAGGTGCGAGACAGTTGCAGAAAGCCTCCGCATATAAAGTCGCTGCGTATCCCATAGCAGGCGCTCTACTGGGCACATGTATCGGAGGACCAATAGGTTTGTTAGCTGGGTTGAAAATTGGCGGTCTTGCTGCCGTGGGTTGCGGTATTTTAGGTGAGTTGTATGCACTTGTATAAAACTAAAACTCGACACTGAAATAAGTATACGAATGATTACATAAGAGAGGATGGAATGGGAAATAAAGTTGGTGAGTAATTGTTCGTCTTCTCAGGTTTCACAGGTGGATCATTGTTGAAAAAGAAACAAGTAGAGTCGCAAAAGCAAGAACCGTGTCTAGATAAATCAACAATAAATCTAAAAAATGTTAAGAAATCTGCCTCTTGTCCTGAGGATTTGAAGCAAGATAAAAAACATTTGTGACAAACGGTGATTTTGTCGACATGCGACATTAATTTTAAACATAAAAAGAAATGCACTGTTATATAATTGTACATTACTGAGATACTTGTATATCTTCCTATTTGTTTTGTGAATATGGTTTTATTTGTACATAAAAACTGTATAAGCTTTATAAAGCTACGTAGTTTCTTTCAGGGAGAGTTTTTTAACTTTCGCGATATTTATAATTTTGTACGCTTAAAAGACAATGGCTAGTCTTGTCTAAACTGTGAACCTTTTAAAATATATAAATTATATGTAACCTATTTAACAGTGTATCATAAGATCATTGTACTTTTCACAGTACTTGTTACAGTAAATATAAGAAAAAATAAGGTTAAGGATAAGGAGATGTTTCTCTTTTAAAATGGTGACTTATATGCCTTTTATGTGCCTTGTAGCTGGTTTAATTATTAAAATACTGATCATCACCTTTAACTTTTTAAACGATGCAGCCACTTGTAATTGCTTTTCTACGAATCAATATATATAAATCCGAAGGTCAAATTTGATGAAAATGCATAATTAAAAAAATTTACTTTAATAGACATTAATTTTCAGTGTTATTTTGCACTTTAACGTAGATTGTCTCTAGAAGAGATCACTTTTCAAATTTCAATCAAGAGAAATGCATATTACATAAAATATACAAGCCATGCATTGATCATGTTGCATGCAAATTATTAAACTATTTACTGAGTTTTCACTACATATAAAATACATGATGTACCGAAATGGCGATTATAATAATCACTCGAAATATATGAAACATCGAAATATTTATTCCGGCAAATAATTACATACTGGAAATGGTAGACATACGTGGTAAATAATACGGTGTGATAACGTTCACAAAAACATTTGAGTTCTCTACAAAAGGCACCCAATACAGTATATTTAGCAAGTGTAATAAAATACATCGGTGTTAGACACAGTACAATACTGAAATAATTGTGTGTTATTAAGTGTAATATATACATTTCATTTATAATGGGAATACTTAATTTAGAGACTAAAATGTTCTACTTAAAAAAATATTAATAAATATCTAAGAACGTGTAATATTAAGTGACTATCGGCATATTTTCTTATAAGGTACTATGTTGTTATTATTGTTACTCCAACATCCCTAATTCAAAAGCAACACCAAACACGCATTCACAGACTTGTGGAAAATAGAGATTGTTTACTTTCGTTCGCTTAGTTTTACTTTCGAAGCTCGGGATGCTCAGCCAGGTGCACCGATGTATGTATATGGCATATTAATATAATTTAAATTGAGATAAAACGAAGATATACGTAATTACGTTTGATTGAAAATTATTGTAAATTGCGATTAAATGTAATTCGTAATAAAATAGGGTGCATCGGACTGTGCCAAGATTCTTTGTAATACTCTATGATCTACACCTACATTTCTAAATACTTGCGACTTCCTCACACAAAAGATATGAAATAAACAGTTTGGTCACTATCCATAAGGTACTTATAATACCTTGACAGACCTTGGCAATAAAGATGGCTAATTAATCGACTTATTTGGAAATAAATGTAACAATGCAGAATCACATATTAGTAAACTGTTATTATCTCATTCACATGTACTTGAATTAAAAGAGTTAAATGACTGCTGATTGACTTAAAATCTTAGAGTTGATTGTAATTTTTCCTGTTTCTCACATATTATTTATGAAAATTGCTTGATTGCACGTTCCACAATTTTTAATAACATATTATGCCTACAAGAAGTGCTTTTTTATTAACCGTTAGGTAATATAAATGATTCTGCATAGTTGAATTAATTGATTCATAAAACAGAACATTGGAATATGTAGTGTGAATTGTCTTAAGGCAAGCTTATCACTCTAATTGATCCTAAGCTATTCCAAAACATTTATCCACACATGTATAAAAAAATTTATTCCTTAAACGTAATAGTATTTCATAAAAAGAACAGAAATTTGGCTTTCGAGTACAGGCCAGAGTTAGATTTACATCTACGACGTGTGATAAAAGGTTTTACAAATGACTCTGACATAAAAAGAATATAATATTTTATATATATATTTTATATATATATATTTGATATATAATCTGGAAATAATATAGACTATTGGTTATATTACTTGTGGCTACATTGTATAAATCTTTGATATTACATTATATTACAAATTGGTATGTATGTGTGCGCAGTGATTTGACATTCCTGAATATATAATCAACTTATTGGATATATCTCGTCGAGAGATAGTATCGATATAATGGATGATAATTAAGGAAAATATATACTTTCTTCAACTAAAGTATGAATTACATCTTTAAGATGATCATATATTTCCCTTAATATAATACAATAAGCGCGAACACAATGTGGAATTGAAATATTACTATTTATCAACTATTAATATAAATAAATGTATAAAACTCTCTTCTCTCGCTCGCTCGCTCTGTCGTAAGACATCGAAATTTCAGGAAATTTTCCGCCACTGTAATCAGGAATGCCAATGTAAATGAGAATGGCGACAAGTGCATATCGTTTATGGTACTGTAGCATACCTCGACATGTGAACGTACATTCGATAGAACATGTTTATCTTGCGTCGTCTTGAGCACATTGGTAAAATTAATAGACGGAATAAGAAAATACACGTTGCCATTACTTGAGAAACTTCAGTTATCACTGAGCTTCCCAAGTAACAGCTTTACGATCTCATAAATCTGTGGATATTTCGAAGCGTATCAAAAGATAGATTCACAGACGGATTCACTTGAAAGTTAAAATTCGGTACTTCACCTCCGCAACTTTAAGATAAAAATCTACGTTTATGTAATGCGATTACAAATTCGTAGCTGGGCACACGTGTTAAGCGTAATGCGGCGATCTACCGAATTGCATGTGGCTTTATACTTTTCCCATTAAACTATAGTTGCTCAAGAATTCTAGTGCTACAGTACGCGTGTAACGATATTACCTCATTGTACCTATCTAAATATGCCACGATAATATGTTACGTCTCTGTAATCGTAACACAAACTTGCAAGTGAATCAATGATACTTTTTCCCGACGTTTCCCGTGTCGAGGAAAGTTCATAGATTAATGGACATGTCTTGGTCGTAAGATGTGAGATTCGTGTCCGTCGAGGAAGCAGGGGTAACCGTTGCCGCTGTCGCGCTGGTTGGCGACTGCAGTGGGGTGGAAGTCGTAGGCAGAGGCGACGTAGGACTCTCCAGAGTTGAATTCCAGTGACTTCTTTCGGTGCTGTCACCTCCATCGTCGGACACGATTGAGATATCGGCGATAATACCGCTTTCTACAATGAGAACGTTAAACATGACAATTTAATATCGATGTCGAGTTTCTTTAAAGGACCACTGAGATTGAAGCGCAATACTCACCAACGCTACACTGGCTGTTCAGTGTAGTACTGCGATGATGCGGCCGTGGACTCGTGTCTAATCCAAGATTAAGCGTCGTAGGAGGACCGCTGCTTCCACCGCTGCTCGAAGACGAGCTAACGGAAATTACGCTGTGCGGCCTTCTGCTGCAACGACTGGAGTCCTCTGTCATTGATACCGCTATAGAGTTTCTAAATCTGGGGGCTGTACAGACAAATTGAAATATTTGTTTTAATATCCAATTATATAAGCAAAATGATTCTCGATGATTCGCGAAACTGTTACTCACTCTTAGAGAGTTGAGCCACACTGATGGAGCGATCGTTTATCTGATCTGCACTAGGCCTTATATCCAAACACGGCTTATTGCCAATGCCCATGCTCGACATCTCTGCCAGGCGCACTTCTAAAAAGTGAAACATCATTGATAGTTTCGCGCTCTTCTAGATTTATACACTAAACATATTAATAAACGAAATAAAAATGACAAATTACCTCTGTTTCGAAGCGCCTGCTTCCATAAGAGGTTGCTAAGTTCCTCGGTCCAGGCTTTCTTAATGTCCTCACTCGCGCACTGCAACGTGTACGTGTCTCCTGGTTTTCTTTTGCGGAACCAGATCTCAAATTTTGTAGGCGAATCTGCGATAACGGCAGTCAAGCCGATATCTGTTGTTTTAATGCTATGCTTGTAGATGTAAATATCGAGGTTCTGAAAAAATATGTACGTGTAAGTAACAACATGATATAGAAACATAAAGTTAAAATGCGCGCGAAGCAAACATGCCGAAAATCTCACCTTTCTATCGGGGAATCTTCTTGCTTTACTGAAGAGTATAAGATCTTCGAACAGGAAGACTTGACGTAGGCATTTTTTGCCTTTTCCCTGCCAGACTAAGAATTCGTTTTGCCGCAGCAGCCTGCCTTGTTCTTTTACATTTACCTAGAAAATAATATCACATCTTTTGCATTGTGCAATATATTTATATAAATTATTCTCACTATTTTCTGAAATGGATAGTTCGTTATTTCATATTATTGTTATTTGAACAGAATAAAACTTACGTCACAATCGCGAAGCGAATCCATCGCCAAAAGATCGTTCCCATGTCGAAGCTGAAATCGCACCATCTGCTCGGCGGCTCTCAAATCCGCTTCACCTTCGACCATCGGTTTCATGCCATCTTCCTTCTCGTCTTTCTCCTCTTTGCCGGACAATTGTTCCGATAAATCTGTACCAGCTTTGACCAGCTGCTGAAGCAACAAAGCGTATTTCCCCATTCGCTGGACCGGCTTCAGCAAATAACTAGCCAAGTCCATTTTATCTCCCAGCTCTAATTGTTTCTGTTTGAAGAAGCTCGTGCCATATTCCGCCATCAGCGAGTCCGAATTTGGTTTATTCTTATTGTACAAGGCGTAAAGATAAAATTTCTTCTCCTGTAAAAGATTGATTTCCACGTGACATCCCACTTTTATGTCTTAACCATCAAGAGTTTCGAGAGATAGGGTTGTGCTTACGTGTCGGAGGAAGCACTGTCCCACCAGCATGGGCGATTGCTCGCACTGCTCTAGTTCGCGTAGAAAGTGTTGACTGTGAAACTCGTATATCTTCTCAACATTCCCGAAGATCACGTTTCTCTGCCCTCTGAGAGCCTGCGGGATGTCCTCCCGTACGAGTTCCGGAATATAGTTCTTCGCAAAGAAGGTTTACAAGTTTACATTACGCTCGGCGCGCGCGATAAATAATGAAATTACGCGGGAATATCAACTTCAACGATGCGCACATAATAATTACCTCTATTATATACTCGAGGGACTTGACGTAGTCTCGTTCAGTCTGTATCATCTCCCTCATTATGAGCAGTATTGTTCTGCAAGGTGAAATTCTTCGTTAACGACGTTACGATCGTATAACAATCGGTACGATGGCATAACGGAAATTACGACGGAACAATGGGTCGCTATTAAAATAGCCATGACATGGCAATAAAATGTCGCACCTAGGACAACAACAATGTGACCTGACCGTTCCATTTTACAATTACTTTCAGACAAAAATTTCCCTTATCTTAATTGGTTCTATCAATATCAATTCGTGACTTTCTTGGCAATTTTGCCTGGAAATTGAACGACCGAGGGACACAAGATGAAGGATTGATATTATAACAAAGATGTACAAGCGTCGTACTTTTTCGCCTTCATTCCTGGCGCGATACTGGCTGATCTGTGAAGGTGCGAGTTGACCGGCGGCTTAACCAGCCTTCGCGGTGCCGGGCTTCGCGGAGGCGTGCGCGGCGGCGAGCAGTCCAGGAGCTGCTCGGCACTCTCTCGAAGCTCGGCGATGTTGTCCAGCACCGGCCGACCACCGCTACCGGCCGACCCGATGCTCTCCATCGGGCAAGCGTAAGACGCGCTGCTGTCGCTATCGTCCCAGGACGTTCCTGGAATATACGTAAACCCAGCTTGTGGACATTCTTCTTGCAACGACCCTGAGAAAAGGGAGGAAGAAGGAGCCTCACTTTTGGCCAAGGTGTCGTCCCAGGAGGTCGACTCGGAAGCGGCGAAAGATCTTCTCCTCGCGGGGCTCCCAGGAGCGGACGTGGTCCTGGCGATCTCGAGGGCTTCCGCGCACTTGTTCCGGGCGATGCGACATTGCTCCAGAAGGACTTCGTTACCGAGCTTCTCCGCCAAGGCTATCATCTCGGTGAAGTGTTCGGGCGGTAGAGGCGGCCTCGCCATCAGAAATTGCTGGGACCTCCTCTCGCTCGCCAGGCGAGCCTCCTGCGCCCACTCGTAGGCGCGATCCTGCAGGAGACAGCATCTCGACGTGTCCTCCAGGTACTCCCGCCTGTCCTCCAGACGTGAGCCGAATCCTCGCAGATGCTGCTTCAGGGATCTCGCGAGCTCGCGGAGTCCGCTCGCGCTCGCCGCCTCGGCAAGATCGCTTCCCTTGTCCAAGTGTCTCTGTAACACAAAGCGGAACAAAAATCAAATTTGACTTCAAGTGTTCTCGTGCAAAACATTTCGAATCCGAGTACGAAACCCTACTTCGGCGGCATCCGACGCCGTACCTTCCCGCGCTACTCATTACCGCCGGAGAATTCAATTCTGAAACTTCGTCCCAGAGCTTCATTTCGAACTTTGCGATGAATACGAGACTGTAACGGTATATTGTCGCAATGAAAAAGTAATTTCACTCTCGGTATTTATCGCGAGGATTCAGTGATCACGCGACGATATCGTTCGCTAATTATTCGCAGAAAACGATCCAAGTTTCTTCCCGTACTTGTCGCGAACGCGTAAAAAACAATACGATATGCGAAGCGGCGCGGGCCACTAACGTTAACAATCCGGCGTGACTTTTTTTTGCCGGGAGCCGTTGACCGAGCACGGATTCCAAGAAATGACGTACTTACGCGCGTAGTAAACAATTCGGTCTCGAGCGCCGGTTACAATGACGTAGCACCGTGAACACTTTTTTCGAAAACAGTCTATTGTGCCTAATCAGTCGGCGCGAGTGAGTCGAGCGTGGCGGGTGTTCCGTGTGTCGTCGCGTCGCCCCTCGTAACGCGATTACTTTCTACGAGAATCTCGATCATCTACGCAACGCGATCGTCTCGTACGAGAGTTTCAACATCTATCCATCGCGTTTAAGGAATTGTCGCGATCCGTAATCACATCGGGGATTAATAACGAATACTTATAACATATCGATCGCTTGCCAAGACATCTCTCCAACAATTAAACGTATAAAAGTGCGCGTATAACATAAAGTTTTCATTTTCCTCGCGTTCGGGAGTGCCGTTTAGTGCCAAATCGCGCGAACGATTTGTGTTTTCGCGAGTGTGCCGGAGGAGACCTGACACAGTGGAGGAGGAGGCCCGGGAGGGCATCAGGCACCGGCGGAGCAACTTTAAGGTAAATGTTATTTTTTTATTTTGTTTAAAAGTGAGATATTTTGCGGAAAATCGTTCGCGCATTAATTATTCAAACGTTTAACCAAATAAAGTTTGATACGCATAACAAGTACTTATATTTTGAAATATTAGTTTTTACATTGAACACTGCTTTAATAAGTTCTATTTTTGTTACAGAATCAACATAGCAAACTCCGCTGCTGCGCATCGGATGGTAAGTCAAAAACTCTTTTAGTAAGGCAACGAATCTACATAATTTCGTAGATTGTGTTATAGATGGTAGATCGTAGATTTGTATATCTCGTAGATCCGTTGCCTTAAGGGGATGCTGGAGTGATTCTGCACTTTCGCACCTTTTGCACTTAAAACTGTCTGTTTCGTGGAAAGATTTGTGTAATACACAAATTAAATGGCACGTGTACAGATGATCGAAAGCAGCTTGCTATTCCGGCTAAATTAAAGAACAATATGACATCACTGAAACTAAGTTTGTAAGTTTAATAAAAAATAATAGTGAGCAACACATAC